CTCGGCAGCTGCAACCCCTCCTTCCCTGCCTCCAAGCCGCTGCAGACGGGTGGGGAGAGCACTAGGTCAGCCCAGCACCATGCTGGAGGGGTCCAGGGACATGAGCAATGTCCCCAAGCTGTCACTGCCATGCAGATGCCCCAGCTGCGGGTGTTTCTACGTCTCGGGTCTTGGCTGATGGTGGTTTTCACTTTGAGGTGATACCTCTGCCGTGTTTGCTGGGCTGCTTGCAGACCCCTCTGCTCACCATCCCCTGCACCAAGCAATGCTGTGACTGAGCATGTGCCCACATCTCACCCACCCCCAGGCTGGTGCTGGGACCAGGATGGCAGCATCTGGTGAGCAGGGGACTGATCTCCTTCACTGCTTATTCACCGTGGGTTGTTCCCCGCTTGGGCACCAAGGATCTCCACTGCTGCAAACCCCAGTGCTGGCCAGACCCATTCTCTGCATCCTCCTCTTCCTCCTCAAACTCAAACTGAAACTCACTTTTCTGTGGCAGATGAGCTCGAGGTGGACCTGGCCATGCACTCAGATACACGTCTCAACACAGGGCAGTGCTGACCTCAACAGCACAGGGTGGGGGATGACACCATCATTCCTTTCTGTGGCATCAGGCTGGCACACCTTCTTCTGGATGATCATTTCAATCCAGCCAGCCTGGATAGCTGGGCTCTGACAGGCTGATTAAACCAAAAAAATCATACTAGGCCTGCCAGGGAGAACCTCACCTGGGTTTGAAACTAGAGAAGAGTCCTGCCCTGAGCACATGATTGGGGCAGGTTTTACTAGAAGCCAGAGAGCATGTGGGGCTGATGGCTGTGATCACAGCAGCTTTATTTATTGCTCTGGGTGGTGATGGTGTGAGGCCTGGTGAAGAGCTGCCCTTATCTGCTGACTACAGCCTCCCTTTGGGAGAGATCTGGACTAGATTTATGTGGGAAAGGTTTGCAGCAAGTCCATCATAGCTGTTTTTAATGCCTTGCATGCTGCCGAGGAGCCCAGGAGGTCCTGAGCAGGGCATGGCTTGGTTCAGCTGGGAGCAAAGCAGCAGATGGACTTAAACCAGCAAACTCACCTCAGATTTTCTGGATCCAGTGACCAAAAGCTGCTCCCACCTCTGTGGGAAACAGCAGCATGGGGCAGCTCGTCCTACATGAAACAGGCTGTTCTCTCCCAAAATCTCATTTCTGGAACAACCAATGCTTGTCTTCTCACTAATGGCCAGCTTCTGTTGCTGCTTCGACTTAGTGGGACAGCACAGGGCAACTGAGGCAACCCAGCTGTTTTAACCCATTTCCCATCCCCTGATGGAGCTTAGGAGGTTAACCAGCATGGGCTGGTGGCAGACACCACCAACACATGTCATTGCATCCCTTCCTCCAAGCTGAATTTCCACAAACACAACCTTTGGGTGCTTAGTCTTGTAAGGAGGGAGCCCAGTATGTTATTCTGATTTCTTGACATAAAGTGATGCTTTCTTCCCCAGAGTTGAGCTCTTGCTAAGAGCAGGGACTTGAGATCAGACTTGGTGTCTCTGTGGACTCTGATCTCCAGGGCGAGGGGTCGAGCCAACACCCAGCTTGCCTTGGGAAACTTGAAGTCAAGCTTTTTGAAGGCATCATTGTACAGACCATAAAGAGACATAAAAGCCGTAATAAACATGATATGAAAGATCAGTTCCCACACCAGGAGTGTCTGAGGGTTGGGGGACTGTATCTGAGATGTCCTAATGTGACCCCAGCACTAAAGTGCCGATGTCAAGGCCTGGCACACCAGGGTACGTCAGGAAATCCCAGAGCAGCACCGCCTGCGTCGCCGGGACCTGTCACCAGCTGGTGCTCAGCCCTTGCACAGCGTCCCTCCCCAGCTGGAGGGTTTGCTGCAGCAGCTTGAGGGAGCTGGGTCTCTTTAGCTTGGAGAAGAGGAGACTGAGGGGTGACCTCATTAATGTTTATAAATATGTTAAGGGTGAATGTCAGGAGGATGGAGCCAGGCTCTTCTCAGTGATGCCCAATGGTAGGACAAGGGGCAATGGGTGTGAGCTGGAACACAGGAGGTTCTGCTTTAAACTTGAGAAGAAACATCTTTACAGTGAGGGTGACAGAGCCCTGGGACAGGCTGCCCAGGGAGGGTGTGGAGTCTCCTTCTCTGGAGACATTCAAGACCCGCCTGGACACCTTCCTGTGTGATCTCATTTAGGTTCCTGCTCTGGCAGGGGGATTGGACTGGATGATCTTTCGAGGTCCCTTCCAATCCCCAACATTCTGTGATTCTGTGAAGACAAATCCAAACCATTGCATTACCAAAGTGAAGTCCTGCAAAGCCCATTGGGGTGGGGAAGGGGCCACAGCCCCCGTGAGCAGCAGCCCAAGAGCTATCTCCGTGGGCTTTGGCCAAACACGGGAATGGCCGTCTGGGACACCATGGCTGGGAAGAAAGTACGAACCTGAAGAAGGCCAGATATGAATATGCATGCACAGCCGAAATGCTCCCTTTGAGGAAAGTCTTCCTCCCCTATTAAGTAATTAAATAAAGCCCCAAGCTCTACTAAAATTAAAATAACAGAATCCATTTATTCTGGCAGGGCCCACTGGTGGCTGCTCTTGCCAAAAACATTTTTGTGGTTCTTGTCTTTTCAAGTGGCTCTTTTGCAATAAAACCCAGATGCCATTAGTCCAGGGAGGCCTCCAGGCAAATGTTTACTTCCATGAAAGATGCCTTTTGTAATTAATTAATCTCCCAAAAGCTGTGGTAGCACATTCCCTGTGGCTCCTGGCGTGTCCCTGCCCGCCAGCCCTGGCAGTGGAGGTGTGTGCTCATTCCTGGGCGCTGAAGAAAGCTTTTGTGTTGCAGCCTCGCCATGAAAAGGGTTAATCTCCTCCTTGGGAAGACACAGCGGAGATTTCAACACTTATCAAAACAGAAGCAGAAGTCAGCGCCTTCCCACTGCCCTGGCCCCACTGAACCTGCTCTTGCTCAACAGCAAATTGCCGTTGCAGGAGGCGGTTACAGGGGCAGAGATCAGCTGGAGACTGAGGCGGTGGGGAAGAGGGTACGACCTGGTTCCTTCACCCTTCCCAGAGTGCAGGTCCCTCCAGACGACTCGGTTGTTGCAGGGTTTCCAAAGCAGAGGAAACAACATAACATCTGAGATTTGTGGGCTTGGTGCACATGGGGGAGAAGAGGTGATTCCTGAGACCTCCGTGAGCAAAATAACATGTGAACCACTCCACGGGCCAGAGCAAAGAACTGTCCAGCCCAGCACCTTCTTCCAGATGGTGGCTGGTATCAGCTCTCTACAGATGAGGGTCCAAAAGCTGGTGGTTTGTAGGGCTCCTTCTGTTACCTCCTCCCAGCTGAGGGCAACTGGGGCTGGGGGCTCCCTGTGGCTGCAGTGGCTGTGGGACTCTCACATTTCATTGCCACCAACTGTTTTCATCCACCGTGAATTTGGCCAGTCTGGTTCTGAACCATTTGCACTTTTCACCTTTGCAGCATCAGGTGATGGTTAATCCAACCATATCATTACATGTCTGCTTGATAAAGGCCATCCTCCTGCTGGTTTTGAACCTGTCTCCACCCTTGGTGTCAATAGAGGTTTTCTTTATGTCTTCACATCCTTCAGGACGCACAAGAGCTCTCATACTTCTCAGCTTGTTTTTTCTCCATCTTGAATTATAAAATCATGGACTGGTTTGGGTTGGAAGGGACCTTAAAGCTCATCCCGTTCCAACCCCCCTGCCAGCAGCAGGGACACCTTCCACTAGGCCAGGTTGCTCAAAGCCTCATCCAACCTGGCCTTCAACACTTCCAGGGAGGGGGCATCCACAACTTCCTTGGCCAACCTGGACCAGTGTCTGACCACCCTCACAGTGAAGAATTTCTTCCTAATATCTAATCTAAACCTCCCCTCTTCCAGTTTAAAGCCATTTCCCTTTGTTCTGTCACTCCCTGCCCTTAAAAAAGTCCCTCCCCAGGTTTCTTGTAGCCCCTTCAGGTACTGGAAGGCCGCTCTAAGATCTCCCTGGAGCCTTCTCTTTTCCAGGCTGAACAGCCCCAACTCTCTCAGCCTAAATGTCCCAAATTCATGGATTCTCCCCCAGACAGAAACCCTCAGCAGAGATCAGCAAAGATGTGGCTTCTCTAGGCCCATGTGTTTGCTCAACCTTGATGTAATGTGGTTGTAAATAGAAAGAATTGCTGTAGGAAGGGTCAGTCCTCGCTGCCTCATTTGTAACGACTCAGCCTGGGGTTTGGTTGTTATTGGTGTTTTTAGCTGTTGTTGGCTTTTCTTTGTTGCTTTTTTGATAGATGAGTTTAATTTTGCTGACATACTGCCCAGGTTTGCAAAGCAGATGTTGCTGCTGCAAGACGGTGACAATAACGCAGGCAGGGAGCAGTTCATCACGGCACGCGGGTGTCGCGGCGTGGCCAGGTCAAAGTCAAGGGGTCAGGGCGTGGGGAGGATGTGGGTCCCTGCTCCTCAGGTCCTGCAGCCACAGTTGCCATGAGAACTGCTGGTGGCACGGCGGTGAACCTCACCAGTGCTGCAGCCACCCCCCATCCATCTCCCATTCCCTCCGGGAAGGAGACCAAGCTGCAGAGAGGAAAACAGCTGAGAGCCTGGAAGGAGAGATGGGTTTGTGTCACCAAACGATGATGGTGTGAATCACTGGTGTTTTGCTGATGGTGGCTCCTGTCTGGGGGTGATACACGGGGTGATGTGAATGTGAGGGGATGGGATGTGGTGTGGCAATAAGGGGGAGCAAGGAGAGGAGCTGGGAGCACCCGGAGGAGCAGACAAACAGCCGCTCATGGCTCCTGCACCTTCCTGGCTTGCCTTGCTCAACACAGAGGAGCTCAGGTTATCCTGCGGCCAAATCCTATGGTCCTTTAGCAAATCATACCCAATACCTGGCCCAGGAGGGCTCTCAAGGAGACCATGGAGCAGGATGGACCCTGGCCCAAGCCCCAAGCTCCTTCGCGCTCCCGGCTGGGAGAGCTTCCCAAAGCAGCCTGCATGTAGAATTTCTTTGGGTGGAAGAAGGAAATTGCTGAGGTCAGGGGGCTGATATTGCACATTTTTATGTGACATCAGCTTGCTGCCACCTTGAAAATACCTAAAGACAGAGTCTTACATCCTGGCCCTTGAAAATCCCTTGTACCCTGTAGGAAGAGAGTGTTGTTACTCCAGAAATTCACTGTTATACCAGGGAATTTAAGCCACTGTGCAGGAAACCCCAGTGTGGGCAGGGAGGAATTTAAGGGGGTAGGGCGTTAGGATTGTAGAGATGTTCTCTGTTCTTACAGTGCTGTTGCAAGAAAGGAGGTGGGATCCCCCTCAAGAAGTCCCTTACAGACCTTGAATAGACAAAATGGATTTAGGTCTAATTCTGGGTAAACACGCAGCCAAAAGAAGTGGGGAATCAGGAGAGTGTGTAGGTACTTTACTGAATCAGAGCATCATGGGCCTCCTGACAATCCACGCAAGAAGGAGAGGAAGCTGGGCTGGAGGTGTGAGGCTCAGGAGCACCCTGCCCTTGGTACCCGGGACATCCCCGGAGCGCTGCCTGCGCTCAGCTCCCCCCACCCCATCCAGCAGCATTCGGCACTAACATGTCCCTCTCTCCCACTCTCCCAGGGACCTCATGCCCAGGACCCTGGAGGGGCAGATCACCATGGAGAAGACCCCCAGCTACTTTGTCACCAAGGAGGCCCCAGCCCGCATCTCCTCCATGTCCAAGGGCACAAAGCTCATCGTGGTGGTGCGGGACCCCGTGACCAGAGCCATCTCGGACTACACCCAGACGCTCTCCAAGAAGCCCGATATCCCCACCTTTGAGAGCCTGACCTTCAAAAACAGGACTACGGGCCTGATCGACACCTCGTGGAGCGCCATCCAGATTGGCATCTACGCCAAGCACCTGGAGAACTGGCTCCTCTACTTCCCCATCGGGCAGATCCTCTTTGTCAGCGGGGAGAGGCTGATCAGCGACCCCGCAGGGGAGCTGGGCAGGGTCCAGGACTTTCTGGGCCTCAAGAGGATCATCACCGACAAACACTTCTACTTCAACAAAACCAAGGGGTTCCCGTGCCTGAAGAAGGCGGAAGGCAGCAGCAAACCCCACTGCCTGGGGAAGACTAAAGGCAGGACCCACCCTGACATAGACCAGGAGGTGGTGCAGAGACTGCGGGACTTCTACCGGCCCTTCAACATGAAGTTCTACCAGATGACGGGGCAGGACTTTGGCTGGGACTGAGGCTGAAAAAAATAATTTAAGAAAAGGAAAATATAATATAATATATATTTTTTTTTACATATCAGTAGAGAGGGGAAAAATACAGGAAAAAAAAATAATAGCTGTGCTGAAACATGATTTGTTCCGATTGTTTTTTTCTTTTGACATCTCTTTGTTTTCCTTCTTCTCTCAGAGTTGAGGTGATGCATCCGTCCAGACAAAGAGGCTGTGAACAGCAACCTGGTCCTGTAGACCCTGCCTGCAGCTTGGCTGCTTCCTTTGATGGGCCCAAGGTTTAGCACCGTCTCTGGAAAAAAAAAAAAATGCAGGCAGAAAGTTTTTAGACATCCTCATGTCCAGCTCCAAAAGTGACAAGGGTGCCTGGGGGAGCTCAGACTCTCACTGGAAGGCCAGCCAGATTTTGGTTTTCAAATGCTATTTTAGACCAGACCCCATCACTTTTGACAATGAAACAAAGGAAACACACCTAATTTGGCTTTCAAAACCTTACCTTAGTGAATTTCTTTTATTGCATGAAACCTTTGGGGAAATTTTTTAATTTATCCTTTTTTTTTTTTTGTCTTTTGCTCCCCCTAAATCAAGCTCTTTTCATCAACCCAACTTAGTTTTCAACTTAGAGAAGCCAAAACCAATAATCCTTTGTTTTGTTTTGAGACAAAACAATTTTGGTAGCCAAAAGTGAAAGAAAACAAATGATTCTTTTGACTCTACGATGAAAATTGCCAGGTAGTCAAAAGGGCTCATTCACAGGAGTTGGCTCTAAACCAGTGCTCCCCGTTGCCAGCAACGTGCACCCCTTTTGCTACGCTGACATCAGAGCTTTTTTCCCAGGGGGGCCCACCTGGCAAGGAAGGTCCACACTGAGATGATGCTCATGGTCTTGAAGGTGATGGGGGACCCACCATCCCACTGCTCATATGCAGGAAACAAGTTCACAGTGTCTGGCGGATGCTGCTTAAGCCATAATGAAGAATGTTTTAAGTTGGGCCAGTCTTAAAAGAAAAACAGTGGAGGGAGGGTTGTTTGGGAAAAAAAAAAAATGAACAAATATCACATCCAGAAAGGGGAGAGAATGAGGAGAAGGCGATGGAAGTTTTCTTGTCCTTTCCTAAAGGAGAACCGAGGGGGAAGCAGGAACAAGAGCATTGGTTGTGCAGGGCTTTAAATATTGTCAGGCAAAACGAATCACATGTTTGTAATAACCAGGAGCTTTAAATTCTTTGCTTTGATCCTTATCACCTTTTTTGGCTGGTAGAAATGTCTCAGCAACAGAAATCTGTAGTGAAGCAGGATCTTGTATTACCGTGGGCTCATTTATCTGCTGCCTTTTTATCTTCATTTTCTGGACTGTAAGAGCACCTAATTATCACTTGGTGCTGTATAAGCACAACATGATGATGCTCCCTGTCCCAAGTCTAACTTTAAAAAGCCCCTGACAGTTAAAACGAAGTGGGGGATCACCTGGTAATCTGGTTAGGAAGAAGCCTGTAGACCAAGCTCACTGGCTGCCTGCACACTGGCCAACATCTTAATAAAATCACAGCAGAGCCAAGATTTCAAGGAGTCCAAAGAGAACTGTATCTGAAATTACAATTTAACCAAAGACAGAGTCATTTCCACCTTGGGCTGTCTTGCTTGACAGGTCAGGAAGACAGCTTGGTGCCTGCTCACCAGAAAGACAGATGAGGGATGACACAGACCCCCACAGCCCTTTCTCTTACCTGCCTCTCTTCAGCCCCTCACTGTTCATGCAAGAGATGACCTGAGAAAATCAGAGGTGGTCAAGTAGCTTTGGCTTCTTGGGGTTGTAGTCCTTCCCAGCATCTCTGCAGTTCATTGCTGGAGCTCAAAGCTCCCAAACCAGAAGTTGGAAGAGTGTTGGGCTCATGGTAATGGTCTCCCCAAAGTCACTGGAGATGAGGGAAGCAATCTGCTCTCTGCCCATGCCATCCAGATCAGGGGGGGAATGGGATTAAGGTGTAGCAAAAGGATGGTGGTTAATTATTGGGAAAACCTTTCTAACAGCAAGGCTTGTTGGGGCAGGAACAGGGGATGGCCACCATCCCTCCCACACTGTGCTCTTCCAGCTCAAAGCCAAGCGGGCAGTGAGGACAAGGCATCACTCACGGGCACAACTGAAGAGTGCCAGCACTTCCAAGGCACAAAATCAGAGGTTTTCCAAGCTGAAAGGAAGATTTAAACATGTAGTTTCTTTGGTATTTCAAGGAGACTTAAGGTTGAGCTAATCTCTACCTGCCTTTGACAAGTATAAATATCACTTAAGAGTGTGATTTTTAAAAAATCAATATAATTACATTGCTATTGTCTCTCATACAGTCACATTTAAAGCAGTATACAGCAGTGTTACAGTGCTACAGATTGCTCCTCCCATACTGAACCAGCTCCAGCAATATAAAACACCTTCACACCAAGGAGTTTCTACAGCTGCCACCAAATCACTGTCATTAAACCCATACAGCGCCGGTGTGGACACAGCCAACTATCGTGTGTGCCTTTAAAACACTTCCCAGCACACTGAACTCAGCTACCTGGGCATGCTTTCCCCAAAATGCTTGAATACTTTATTTCCACTCATTTCCGAGGGTCTGAATCCCTCGATGCACACCTCGTAAAACTACAGAGGGATCTGAGACTGTAATTGGGTTTTTTTTTGATCTGGGACATAAGTATTTTTGAAAGTCCCTCCACGTATGAACAATGGCTTTTAAAAAGAGGTCATGCAATCAAATTCCTTTGAACTCTAATAAACATTTAAGCCTCTAAACTCTTCAGGCTTATTTTAAAATCCAGCCATGAAGTTTAGATTATTTTAACCTAAGAAGAATTGGAAGTAAACTATTGAAAACTGCATCCCTCCTAGACCTACAGAATTGAGCATGTGTATTAGGAGAAGAAAGCAAAAATAGCTATAAATAAAAAAGAAAGTGACCTGTAGAGTTTGATTTTTTTTTTTCAAAGCAGGAAAATCAATACCTTAACGATGAGAATCTAATTAGGTGTGTTAAAATTCTTCTAGTTTCAATAATCAAATATGCCATGAGAGACTGATGAAGTTTAGGCTTATATGCCACACAAGATGCAGATTTTATAACATTTGTTTAAAAAAAAACCAAAACAAACAAAAACCTTTATAAAGTATCCTATCAAGTGTCAAATTCATCATAAGGAAGAAATCTGTCACACTGAGGGTGGTGAGACATTGGCCCAGGTTGCCCAGAGAGGTGGTAAAAGCCCCATCCCTGGAAACATTCAAGGTCAGGTTGGACAGGGCTCTGAGCAACCTGATCTGGTTGAAGATTCCCCTGCGCATGGCAGGGGCGTTGGACTAGATGACATTTAAGGTCCCTTCCCATCCAAACTCTGTGATTCTGTGCTTTGGCACAGGCTTGTAGACCCCAATTCAGAAAGACACTTGAACATGAGACCTCCCTATAGCCCAATGCAGCAGCATCTTTCAGCCAGAGCCAAACTGTGGAGAAGGCTCTTTGCACCCTGCTTCAAGTGGTCACACCTGGAAGATGTCAGAGAAATGGGGTTTGATTTCCCAGTGCAGATTGGCAAGGCAAAACCTGGCCCCTCTGCTGCTGCAATTCCCATCGCTGTGATTCCTGGAAGGGCGAGGACCGAGCTGCTGCGTCCATGTTGTAGTTGGTGTTGATTACATGCCCAAGGGAATTTAATCAACTCCTAAGGAAATGCTGCCACCCAATAATTTACACAGTTAAAAGGGTTATAAACACCAACGTGTCATGGAGCTCAATGTACGAGCCTCCTCTCCGTGGTATTTGGGGTTGTCTTTGGGGCCCAGCACTAAGAAGTTAAATTCCCAGCAATGATTTGGCCATGTCTACCCAGCACTGAGTTACTTTAACTACCACTGATCCTTTGCCTCCTCGGTTCTCCCACATACACAATGTCAGGTCTCCAGATTAGGGAAAAAAAAATTGCCCATTTTCTTAACAATTAAAAAAAATCTTGTTCGTATATAATGGTTTCTGGGTTTTCTCTCCTCTCTCCCCTTTGCTTGGTGACACTGTCATCCTTCTCCCTTTGGTGCTATTTCAGTATGAAACAGACTGATTTTAATTTAATTTAAGAATGAAAAAGCACACATTTAATAAAGTTTACGGGTACTGAGAGGCTGTGCTCTCTTTTTGCTGGCAGCAGCAACCTGGAAAGAGGGGGCAGGTTTACGAAAAAAAGGAGAAAACACAGAATTCCCCACTTGTGTCTGATTTTAGTGTCCTAAACCTAAGGCACTGAACAGCAGCTGGGGGGGCTCTGCCTCCTGTGAAACACCCCATGGCATCAGTAGTGTCATTTCCATGACCTCTTCTCTTCCACTTCACGTTTCTCCAGCAAACTGAATGTTGTAATCCTTTCTTTAAATGGCAAAAAAACCTTGAAAAGTCAGGTCTTCACGGCTCCCCGCACCATTCACCCCTTAGCTGTCGCTGGCCCTGCCACGTCCACAGCGTTTGGCCACCGAGTTTGATGAATTCCTGCTTTCTCCTGACCTGGTAGGAGAGGAACGGACCCAACTCACGGTGCATTGTGTGAAACCCGAGGTGGAAGCAATTCACCAAGAAATATATACAGCGGAGTAGCCCCCATATATCAGGTTTTCTGTGTGGTCAAGTAAAGTGATATTCTATTTACTTTTTTAGACGTATAAACAGATTAAGTCCCAGGGCAAATATGCTCCCAAACTTCATAATATTTTATTAAACCACTGAAGTTTAATATAATCTTTTGGCTTCCACAGAAAAATGTTCCATTTCTTTTCTGAGCACCTTTGATTTTATTTTCTTTTAATTACCGTTATCCGGAGTTAACAATGTGGGTTTTTGCACTCCACCCAGCAAGGACTATCCAGATTAGAAGTGGGGAATTTTGCTGAAATACAGAAATATCTATGTGGTGGTAAGAAGTTGACGACGCCTGGATGGAAAACTCTGGAGAAGCCAACGTACAGAATG